CTTGTTTGTCGGTCTGTATTCACTCTAGCCTTGGGCCTCTCAGTGGTCATCTCATCACCCAACAGTAGGGTATGGCCTTCCTAGGCCAAACTGGCCTTTCCTGGCAAAACTGACTCCACTAGGGTCTTTAGGGTCCAACTCCCACACTCTCCCTTCTATACTTTTGGAACCCCTTGCAGCCCTCCCCCCCCCAGGGGACGATTGCTTTTGGCTTTTCACTCACCAGCCCGTATTAGTATTCAGACTCAGACTCGGTCTTGGACTTGGTCTCAGTCTCAGTTTCGGTTTCGGTTCCATCTTGGACTCCATCTCAAACTCCATCTTGGGTCCATCTCGGACTCCATCTTGGGTCCATCTTGGACTCCATCTTAGGTCCAACTCAGACTCCATCTCGGGTCCATCTTAGGTCCATCTAGGACTCCATCTCGGGTCCATCTCAGGTCCATCTAGGACTCCATCTCGGGTCCATCTCGGGTCCATCTCAGACTCCATCTCGGACTCCATTTGGGGTCCATCTCAGGTCCATCTTAAACTCCATCTCAGACTCCATCTTGGGTCCATCTCGGGTCCATCTTAGGTCCATCTCAGACTCCATCTTGGGTCCATTTCAAACTCCATCTTGGGTCCATTTTGGGTCCATTTCGAACACTTCCATGTGTCATATGTTGGTCCTCTTGTGTCCCTTTTCTAAAAACTCACTTATTGCTCGCTTCGTGCTTATTCCTCGAGCACTTCGTTGGGAGTTCCACTCCCACTCTCGACCTTTCAAGTCAAAGTTTTTAGTCCAAACGTTTTATGCTCATTTGGCTTTCAGTTTGGCCACCACTTTGTGGTGCCCTTTCGACTCCACTTTGGGGCTTAGGGATTTGTGTCTCACAATATCATTCTTGGGATAATACTCAATGTTTGTGTGAGTTTCCCATGTGTCTCCAAGGAATGATGCTGTAATGGTACAATGGTTTGAGCACAGCCACTCATGAGGATTAGAGTATTCTCCTGAACATCTTCAAATGCACATTCGGACATGCCAACAA